AAAATCTGATGAGTTCAAAAGGAAAGCATCATAGCCATAACATGTCACTGGGCTTAGTATGAGAGGACCAGCTATCTAACAGACTTGAAGTTTATCACCTCACAGACGTATTTATCATGCTGTATTTTTTGGCAGTATATTATTACTATTCATTTAGGTCTGAACTAAGAGAAAATCTTGGAGTTCAGCTCTCTGAATCCTTTCATTTTGGAAAGAACAAATTTTTAAAATAGCTGGATGTACCACGAAGGATAATTATACATATTAATGTCCACTGTGGGTGTTTCCAATCCTATTAAGAATTCCCAATAAGATCCATAATAAGAACACTATTATGTGGTTATGTAATTTTGTCGCTTGTGTGTCTCTTAACATGGGAACAGAAATTCTAGAGGATTTACTCTATGTAGCGCTTACATTGTCCTTAGCCACAAAAGGAGTGGATCCCCTGACCTTGCCCAGTTCCACAGTCACAGCATTCACCCACCCCGTACCTGGTCTATAGGAGAACTCCGTGGGCACGGTGAGGGCCCGTGACATCCCGGTGCACAGGCTCAGTAGCATCGTCTGTATTTGTCCTGGGCATCACCCTCAGCATATGTGGCAGGATTTTACTGTAGTTTCCAGATTGAGAAGCAAGAAAGTCCCCTGCTTGGTTGGGGTGGGAAAAGATGAAAGAGATCAAGAGGTACAGATTGCCAGTTATAAAAATAGTCATGGGGACATACAGCATAGGAAATATAGCCAGTAATATTGTAATAACTACATTCGGTGCCAGGTAGGTACTAGACTTATGGGAGTGATCACTTCGTAAAGTATAGAAATGTCTAATCACTGTTATACACCTGAAACGATGATGTTATATGTCAGCAGTAATTGGAAAGTAAGTTTTAAAAAAATGGTTTTCTTTAAAAAACAAAACTGTCCTCCTCCTTATCAGAGATTATGTTCCTTTCCTTTACATTCGGGAGGAGTGGAAATACTGCACTTAAGCCTCTGAAGGGAGAGGCAAGAGGAAGAAAAACAAAGCAATATATGTTGAAAAAAGTCACAGTAATGTAAAGGAAAGGAAAACTATAAACAAAGTACTCTTTTAAACAGTGCTCTAATTAGATGTGTCATTTACGGTTGAACAAAGCCAACTGTCAGTTAAAAGTATCAGCATTAAGTGCTTTTGTGGTTGATAAAATATTGTTACACTTTATGGCTTTAATATTTTATAATTACCCATGAGTCAGCAATATAACAGTTCATATCCTTTATACCCATGAAAGTGGGTTTAAGGCATCTGGGTAAGTGGTATTACTTTTAGTAGTATAAATTATTTTAGGGCCTTTCTTTCCTCGAATTATTAAGCTATCTGATTATTAACCGGCCTCTCAAGTATCTGATAGAAGATTTGAATTGGAGTTGAGCATTAGTGAGGCAGCACAAATGTTATTTTCCTTTTCCCCTGTGTGTGTGGAGGGGGGATGAGAGAGGAGGCAGAGTCCCTTCCTGTCAAGAAAGAATCCTCCTCTCACTCTCCTTATTTTTTGAAATATAGGAAATAAGTTAGATTTCATAGTGCTGTTGGCCCATTAACTGGCACTAAATTTCTGAGTATATTTGCAAATTCCTCATACAAACTATCATGGTATCTAGCATATGGTGGAGACTCAATAAACATGGAAATGCACTGACCCATTTAGATTTTAGATCTCTTCTCTAACCTGTACAGCCTTCTCTCCAAGAGGATCCTTTGGCTGATAAATATTCATCTGCTTCCTGATAAGAAGTGTTTATGATGCAAATTATACACACTCTGGTGCCAAATTTAACCCTGGAGACATTTATTTCATACCATCTCTAGGGCCAAGGCACTGAGCTAGGGAGACACAAAGATTCATGACACAGCCCCTGCCCTCCAAGCATTTGTGAACATCCTGGGAAAAGGAGTAAGGCAGTGGTTCCCAACCTTTTTTTGGCCATGCCCCACCTAAGCATCTCTAAAATCCTGATTGCCTGCCCCCGCCCCCCTGCCCCGTGACATATAATTCTTATTCAAAAAGTGAACTCCTATTCACATGGAGGAAGCCTAAAAGGCCATTAACTTGGTCTAAACAAGCTTCCAAAGAACATGGCATCCATGAAATAGAAAAATAAAAGAACAAAAGGACAGTTGAAGTAGTGAGGAAGAAATCACTAAGAAATTGTTTAATAATATGAAGTGATATGAAAAAAAAGCAAATAAAGTTTCAAAACATGTACTAGAGAACTAAAGTGCACAAG